AGGCAGGCATGTCCAGCTGTCTATGTCGTTCGCTTTCGCCGCTCTGTCCCCGGCCCCTGAAACAGGGCCTGGCATACAGTGAGTGCTGTTGATCGAAGCGGCAAGGGTATAATTGCATTGCTATGCGAGAACCATTGCTGTCATAATAAAATGACTCAGCAACAGTGACCGTCCCCCCCAACCAGGTGCTAGCACCCAAGCCCCTGAACACAGCAGCGGAGTAGGATGACTAGCCTCGGGTAGTAAATACAAACCAAGGCCCAGAGGGGGTCAGCCACTTGCCCAAGGCCACGGAGCCAGATGGGCCTCTGCTCTCAGCACTCACCCTGCGTCCCTTTTTTCTGCATTCCAGGCTCCTTGGCCATCCCAGCACCATCCATCCTGCTGGTGCCCCCACACCCCAGCAGCCAAGAGGACCCCATCCACATCGCCTGTGTAGCCCCCGGGGGCTTCCCAGGGGCCAATTTCACGCTGTACCGCGGCAGGCAGGTGGTACAGCTCCTGCAGGCCCCCGCGGACCAGCTGAGGGTCACCTTCAACTTGACCGGCGGAGGCAAGGAGGCTCCGGGGGGCACGTTTCACTGCCAGTACGAGGTTCTAGGTGAACAGCCGCAGCTGTCCGACCTCAGTGACACTGTGAGTGTCTCCTTCCCAGGTAAGGCCCTCCAGCGGGCCCCTCACTGCCTGGGGCTCCATTCTCTCACCGCTGAGCCTTTGCTTATGCTGTTCCCTCTGCCTCGTGGGACAAGCCAGGCCTCCGGCTTGCCAGCGCTCACCCACCTTTCCTTAGTCAGTCCTCAGTCATTCCACGCGATGCGTCCTGCCATTCTCCCCATGTTGCAGATGGGGAAACTGAGGCATCAGAGATGGAGGGGCTCACCCAAGTCACACGGCTAGCGGGCAGCGGAGCTGGGGTTCCGTTGGCTCTGATATCTAGGCGTTAACACCTCCACACTCTGCTTCACCCTCACCTCCTAGCCACGTAACATTTTTGAGCACCTACAGAGCACCAGGCGCTGGCGAAACAAAGTCCCTACCCTCTCACAGCTGACATCCCGAGGGGATGCAGACAGACGATAACCAAGGAGTCCAATATATAGTCAGTGTGCCAGCAGGAGACAAAGTGGCAGGGATGAAATACAGCCTGGTAAGGGGTGTCATTTTATTTTACTTTATTTTATTTTTATTTGAGAGAGAGAGAGTGTGTGTGTATGCATGAGTAGGGGAGGGACAGAGCGAGGGAGAGAGAGAGAGAGAGAGAATGAGAGAATCCCAAGCAGGCTCCACGTTCAGCACAGAGCTTGATGCAGGGCTCGAACCCACGGCCCTGGGATCATGATCTGAGTGGAAATCAAGAGATGGTCACTCAACCAAAGTAGCCACCCAGGTGCCCCAAGGGTGTCATTTTAAATACAGACAGCGGCCAAGGAAAGCCTCTCTGAGGACCTGAATGAGGGGTCAGCCATGTGGGTAGCTGGGGCAAAAGGGTCCCAGCCAGTGGGAACAGACTGTGCAAAGGCCCTGAGGCCGGAACACGCCTGGTGTGATTGAGGAACACAGAGGCCCTCTGTAGGGCTGAAGCATGGCGGGCGAAGAGGAAAGTTGGGGGACAAGAGAGCAGGGAGGTGGCAAGGAGGATCGTGCTACACCTTTGGCTGCATTAAGGACTTTGGCTTTTCGTCTCAGTGAGACAGAAGCCCTGGGAAGGCTGATATTTTTCTGTGGTCTTCTCAGGACAGGGGGCTGGGTGTGGGCTCCGGATCAAGGAAGGAGCAGGAGGGAGGGAGGAGCCTCCAGGTAAAGCCTGTGCATCACCATCAATCAGAACATTCCAGCTGCAAAGAGAACTTTGTTGCTAGCAGAGGCCCCCACTTAAAGAGAACTTTGTTGCCTCCAGAAGGCCTAGTCATTGAGGTGACAGAACAGTCTGGGCCTTTGAGCTCCACTATCAAAGGCCCCCTTCTCTCACCTTGAGCCTGTGGTCTCAGAGTGGGGAGGTGACAACATCCCTCCTGCCCCAAATGAATGAATGAACAAGGACTAACAGTGTGAGAATACCAAGCATGTGTCTCTCCTTCCCCTTCCTGGCTTAGCTCCTGATCTCCATGGGGATCAGGTCATCTCCTCCTGTCTCCCCTGAGAGATCTCCTCTCTCCAGGGAGGGGCAGCCAACTCCCTTTCAGAGAAGTAAACTCTGAAGCTGGGGCTTCATGCTTTTGTGGCTGATTTCTGCATGGACCTCAGGGTCCACCATGGGGCTGGGGGTGGATGTCATCTGACCCCCTGGTACCCGGCTGAAGCCAGCAGGATCCTCAGGCTGCAAGTCACTGGAAACTTGGCTCAAACCGGTTTCAGAAACAAAAGAGAATGTGCTGGTTTGGCGAGCTGAGTCGGTATGCAGTTTTGGCTTCAGGCATGGCTGGATCCAGGTGCTCATAAAGAAGTCAGGAATCAAGTGCCACCTCTCCGTTCAGCTTTCTCCTATATCTTATTCTCAGGCAGGACCTCTCCTTCATGGTGTCAAAATGTGCCTAGAGGATCCAGATGTATATCCTACCAGCTTTGTAATTCTGGCCAAAAGAGTAACCCTCTCTTCCCAGTAGCCTAGCCAAAGTCTCAGAATTAGCTCTCATTAGCTCAGCTTTGGCCACATGCCCATCCCCAAACTAATCACCATGGCTGGGGGTGGGGGAATATGCTAATTCACCAGCACGGAGGTTTGCTAGATCCCCAGTCCAGCTACACCAGCATCAAATGGTTGGGCAGGATGGTGGGGGGAGGGCTGGATCCCCACATGTAATCTGGAGAAATGACAGGTGTCCCACCTTTACCCTCGCGACCCCGTAACCTGCCCCCTCTCTCTTTTTCTCGTGTTCCTCTAGTGCCCACTTGGATACTGGCACTCTCCTTGAGTCTGGCTGGAGCTCTCCTTCTCCTTGCTGGGCTGGTGATCATTGCCGTGGTGGTCAGGAGAGGTAAGAGCAGGCAGAGAAAGCATGGCCCACCAGCTGCCAGCATGCAACCCCTGAACATGTAAATGTTCCCATTTCTTAAAAGTATGGAGGCACACGGCCAGGGAGGTCTCACTCCAAAACTTAGCCATGAAGAATCCTTCAGAATGCAATGCAATGTTGGTGGGGGGGCAGGGGAAATTGACACACACACACACACGCACACACACATTAAAGTTTACTTATTTATTTTGAGAGAGAGAAAGAGTGGGAGTGGGTGGCAAGGAGGGGCAGAGAAAGGGGGAGAGAGAGAATCCCCAGCAAGCTCCATGCTGTCAGCGCAGAGCCCGATGCGAGGCCCAGTCTCACAAATGGTGAGATCATGACCTGAGCTGAAATCAAGAGCTGGTCTCTTAACGGACCGAGCTACCCAGGGGTCCCGATAGATATATTTCAATTATAAAATACATATAACATAAAGTTTAGCATCTTAACCCTTTATAAGTGTGCACTTGCAGCAACATCAAGGACACTCACTCTGTTATGAGACCATCACCAAGGTCAAACTCCGGAACTTCGTCATCTGCCCAAACGGAAACTCTGTCGTTCCCTTTAAACACTAACTCTCCTTTCCTCCTCCCTTAGCTCCTGTCAAGCCCTGAGATTGACATTTAACACAACAACAACAACAACAACAACAACAACAATTTTACACGCTTGTTTGAAGTTTTTACCCGCACACATTACTTATGTCAGGGGCGGGGGGTTGCTGTAACTCTCCTGTTGAGGGGCACGTTGACAGAGGAGAAGGCAAGTTTGGGTCACAAACGTATGAGGGGGCCTTGGGATTCTTGTGTGTGTGTGTGTGTGTGTGTGTGTGTGTGTGTGT